ATTATCTCAGGTCGAGGTTTGCAAGAATACTTCTTGGTGGAAATACAGACAAACTGAATCAATGATAGAGTGAAGACTGCTCTCGCAACCATTCTCCTTACAGATTGAGAAAAAATACATCAACACATACATACAGACAGACATACACATACATATATGATTCATAAATTTTGCATCAACCATTTATCATCATGTATATTAAAGACAATTTTCTCCTCTCTTGACGACAAATTCAATAAAACTTCAAATAAATTTCATCTTGACATCCATCATAATATCAAAGATTAGGCATCCATAAATACATCATTTTGATCTTTCAGGAAATCAAAGCTCAGAAATGACCAGATGTCATTAACTTGAAGAAGCGATGATTTGGCTTCCTGAAGTCAATAATCAAAACATTTCCTCAACATGCAAGAACAAATAGACTTTTTATCACCTTTGAGGGTGTTTTTCTTGAAACAAAATTTTGTCGCGCTTAAGACATTTTTCCATAAATTTTGAGAATTTTAAAACAAATTTTTGTCTCACTTGAGATAATTTTTCTCAAAAACAATTTTTATCTCGTTTGAGACAATTTCTCTAAAAACAAATGTTGTCTCACTTGAGACAATTTTCCAAATTATGAATTTGTTTCACTGGGAAACTCATCGTTTGAGTCTTTTCTTTTGAAACAAAGGATCTTTGAGTCTATTTCTTTTGAAACAAAACTTTGTCTCTCTTGAGACATATTTTATTGAAAAATCTTTGAGTCTGTTTCACCCAAAAACAAATGAAAAAAATCTTTGAGTATGTTTCTTGATAACAAAATTTTGTCTCTTTTGAGAAAGTTCTTTTGAAAGAATCTTTGAGTATGTTCTTTGGAACAAATTTTTGTCTCTTTTGAAACAGTCCTTTTGAAGAAAAATCTTTAAGTCTGTTTTTATGAAAACAAAGGTTTGTCTCTTTTAAGACAATTCCTCTTAAAAAAACATCTTTGAGATTGTTTCCCTTAAACAAAACCTATCTTTGAGTTTATTTCTCTTAAAACAAAAGTCTGTGAGTTGTTTCTTTTGAAATAAAAATCTTTGAGCCTGTTTCTTTTGAACCAAAGTTTTGTTTCTCTTAAGACAATTTCGTGAAAAAATCTTTGAGTCATTTCTTTTGAAACCAAAATCTTTGAGTTTGTTTCTTTTGAACAAAGTTTTGTCTCTCTTGAGACAGTTTTTCTTGAGAAAAATCTTTGAGTCTGTTCCTTTTGAAAATCTTTGAGATTGTGTATCTTAACAAAATCATGTGATTCTATTTCTTTAAAAACGAATTTCTTGAGATAATTTTAATAAAAACCAACCTTTGGGATTGTTTCTTTTTAGAAAAATCCTTGAGTCTGTAGTTTTTCTTGAGAAAAATCTTTGAGTCTGTTCCTTTTGAAAAATCTTTGAGATTGTGTCTCTTAACAAAATCATATGTGATTCTATTTCTTTAAAAACGAATTTTATCTCTTGAGATAATTTTTAATAAAAAACCAACCTTTGGGATTGTTTCTTTTTAGAAAAATCCTTGAGTCTGTTTCTTTGGAAAAAAAATTTACAATCTTTGAGTCTGTTTATTTTGAAACATCATCTTTGAGTCGATTTCTTTTGAAATCGTTATCCCTAAAGATGGCCATAACTCTTCATCACGTATGAGCCGTGTCATCTCCTGACCCGATCTCTCCATCGCGTAGGAGCCATGTCACCCTTAGATAACCAGACGTCCTCATCACATAGGAACCGTATTATCGCCCTTCCTAAAGATGGCCAGAACTCTTTATCACGTATGAGCCGTGTCATCTCCCGACCAGATCTCCTCATCGCGTAGGAGCCGTGTCACCCCTAGATAACCAACCGTCCTCATCACGTAGGAACCGGGTTATCACCCTTCCTAAAGATGGCCAAGAACTCTTCATCATGCATGAGTAGTGTCATCCCTCGATCAGATTTCTCATCACGTAAGAACCGTGTCACCCTTAGATGACCCGAACTCTTCATCACATATGAGCAGTGTCGTCCTCAAAAACCAACATTATCCAATTTCTATGCAAAAAGGGGAGAACCAGACAAAAACGTGTTGTCTTGTCATCTTTGCCCTATTCTTGTTAACACAAGAATGTGCAAAGAGGGGCAGCTGTAGACACTCATTTTTGTCTGGGTCTTTTCTATTTTATTTTAATTTTATTATTATTATTATTATTATTATTATATGTATTATTATTGTTTCATTAACATAGTTACATTTTGTGCAGGTCCAGCTCTTGACCCAATACAAATAAAGCCCGGAACAGAGGCCCAACCAAGACTAACCCAACTACAACCCACTCAATAACCAACTTGAAGACCAATTGGATCCAACCCGATCCATAATGGAGCCTATCCTATTTGTTAAAACCTAAATAGATCAAGGTTTTAACCCTAATCCCCTAATCGCTCAGCCACTGCCTTCCCTTTCAGCTGCTCAGCCGTCTATCACACCATTAACCGTTCAAGCCAAATATCGTCGTCGCTAAACATCCATCAAACAACCCTATAGTGACCGAGAGCCCGTCTATCAGTCCATCAACAGAAAAATAAAGAAAAAAATAATGAAAAAATCAAAACAAGGACAAGAGATCCCGAGGAAAATCGGGTCTACAAATCTAGGGCACTCAAGCCCTATTTCCTCGGGTAGCAAACAACTCTATCAACAACCATTAATCGCCAAGCTAGGGGGATAAAATAAAGGCAGAGACATTCGGATTTAGGGGGAGGTGGTTAGCATAAAATAAAAAAAACACAAGAAATCCGAGAGAAAGATACCAGATTCGAACCAAAAAGAAAAAAAAGAGATTGGAAACACCCTTACCTAGATCGTCAGCCTCCGTTCGTTGAGTCAGGGACCCCTTTCATTTTCGAAGGTAAGGTTGTTTGGATCTAGTTGTGGGGGGCTCAGTGCTTTGGGTTCTCGTGTGAGGGGAAGAGGGTAAAAGAAATAAAAAATAGGGTTTAGGGATACTTGTAACCCCGTGGCCATCGTTTTACGGTTGTCGGGGCTTTGGGTTTATTTTCCTCGATGGAGAGAGGGTATCACGAAGAGAGGATGATAGGGAGAGAAAAGGATTGAGAATTAGAGAAAGGGGTCGACTGAAAGGAGGTAAAATGATTTTAAGGTTTTAAAATAACCCTTAAGGGGGTTATATCTCAGACGTCAAACGACGTCGTTCTGAGACAAGGGAGGGTCGAACGCTGGGTTAAAGGGAATAATGACAGTATGGGTCCTCGTAACTTCTTCCGGGTTTTGTTATTTTCTGGGTTAAATCACAGTTTAATCCTTTTAATTCTGTAACATTTGTAATTTGATCATTCTAATGGAAGTTTATCTTTTCATTTTGGGCTCTATGTCTGTCTAGTATTTTATTTTAGTCCTATTTGTTCTATATTATATTTGTTTATTTGTTTAGCTTTTTGGCTTCTAATCTTGTATTCCTTTCATTTTAGTCATCAGATGGAATTTTTACATAATTTACTTTAAGCTTTGAATTCAGTTACACCTACATTTTGGTCACTATTATGTATTTTGTATTAAACCATGAATTTTACATGTATGTTTTATTTTTATTCTATTTTAGTCCTTTATAAGTTATGGGTTCTTTCATTTACAGTACCTATAGTGTGTAATATTTTTGATCTTGGCTATGATTGGTTTTTCATTACTGTTTAACCCTTCAAATTTCTATTAATCATATTTTGGTCCCTTAAATGCTTATTTTTGGTATTTTATTTCGGTTTGTAATGTTTGTTGTTTTTTATTCTAGTCCTTTATGCTATCAAGTATGGTTAATTTATATCTTAAGCATATCATATTTGTATACATATCTATTTTAGTCCAACCTTGGTAACTGTGTTATACATGTACATATTTATTTATGTATTTTAATTTATGTTTTTTTATTTTGGTTCCTTTACATATTTTAACATATATTTATTTCAAGTTATTAATTTGCACTCCCCTATTTGTCATTGTTAGAATAATTTCATGAATGTATTTGTAGAACGGATGTAGAAAGTATCACTTGATCGAAGTGGTACAATCTAATACGACGTTCAAACTAAATGGAACTAAATAAATCAATTTTTAGTTTGTTAATTGTTAATTCATTTTATTTTACATTGAACAATGCAAGTTATGTATTTTATTTTTTGCAATTGTCAATTTACAATTTATATTCGATATGCATCTTTCATAATTGACAATAGAATATCCTTTAACAATGAAAAATAGTTGAAATAGCTTTCCCGACGGAGGATTGCAAATTTCAAGATTTTTCATTGAGTTAAAGAATTTTCTTTAAATAGTTAATTCCAAGCAAATTAATTAACTTTAATAAATGGATCGCATTTTAACTTTATATTTGATTCACCATTTCTACCATTACGACAATATATAAGCGACATAGTATCAATTTTGGGCGTTGTGGGATGCTCACCCTTCCCCACGCGTAATCGACTCCCGAACCTGTTTTAAATGAATCTTTGTAAACGCATACCATTTTTGTCTTATAAAATAATTTTTCTTGATTTTTTTTAAAAAGACTTTTTTAGGTATTCGACCTACCTAAGCCAAAGGTCGATGGCGACTCCATTTTAACTCTTATCCAATTTCATCCAAATTAATCCAAAATCCTCAAATTTTCCAAATAAAAATCATAATCGTTTTTAAAATAATATTTAATTGTTTTACAAAAAAATGGTTATGATCATTTAAAAATTTTCAATTAATGATAAATTTACATGTTAGAGAAACACTTGCAATTGGGTTATCAATTTGGTTCGGACCTATTAAAGTATAAAGATTAAATCAAATTTTCATCATTGTATTGGGACTAAAACTAGAATTAGATCATTTACGAAACTTGCAATTGGATATCTTAAATGGCCCTAACCTAACTTCAAGGCCCCGAATGGAGTCCAAGAAGAAAGACCGTTTTAGCCCATAACTCGGAGTTCTGTCAATAAAAATCCAAACGTTAAAATTCTACAGTCCGAAGAGGGTTTTAGAGCGAAGAGAAAACTAAATTAAAAATGAGGTTCGGCCGCGCGTTGAAGATTGCTCCGATTACGCTTCTTCTGCTGATCATTTTCACATTTGGTGAGTTTTCAAACCAAATCCAATTTTAGCTCATTCGTTATACATACCGTCTCGTTGTTTCCAGATCTGATCAATTTTGCGAAACTCATTTTGTGTTTCAATTTAATCTATTTATGTTACTGACGTTTGATTATCGGTTTCTTCATTATTCGCTTCAATTATCAGCGAGTGCCAAGAAGTCAGGCGATGTGACCGAGCTACAGATCGGGGTCAAGGTATGTCTTTAAATACGTTTGAACAGTTCTCTGTAAGTGCTTTATTTAGTGATTTAATCTGAGGTAAATAGAAAGGTTTAAAACGTGTCTCTCATTAGCTTTAATTTGCTGTTTTGATGTGAAGAAATTTATGATCTTGTTGTTAATTGTTCCTTTTTTTTATATATTATATAAATTCAATCTTCATTACTAGCATTGTCTTTCATGGCTGCTTATTGTGAGCATGAGTCTGTTACTTTGTTTATGAAATCACAAAAAAAAAAATGAAGCGTTTTAAACTCTTAGGCTGCTTTTTACCTTATAATTTGGTAACTGTATGATTAATTCCTAACCTTGCCTTTCCATGTTTGTTTGTTCATATTATCAGAAATTGTTTCAATTTTTCATTCTCGTTGTTTTTGTTGCTTGCTATCTTATTATCTCTTTTACTTTTGTACTTTTCTCTCAGCATAAACCCAAACCATGTGAATTTCAAGCTCACAAAGGTGATAGAATCAAAGTACACTATCAGGCATGTTTGGTTCGGCTGGATGTTTAATTTTTGTACTAAAATTGGTTGACCCTTAAACGAAGTGACGAATATTTGATTGTGGGATTTTTCCCCTGAAATTTGAGAAATGTATTCAATCATTCTTTTAGATTTTTGAATTTCATAATAACAAATGAACTAAACATTCTTGAGGTTGCTATATGTCAACTGATTTCAACATCTCAAACTTGTTCCTTTTGTTGGATTTTGAAAATAGGAGTTGGGTTTAGTAATTTTCTATTTATATTTCAGAACAACGGGCCATCGACTTGTATACTTTTGTGGGCATTATGTATTTTGTCTGGATCTGTCGTTTGATTTTGCTGTTTTTTCTTTCTTTCAATTTTTAAGTCATTTATTTATTTTCACTGGTCACTGGCTGTGTATGGATTTGTGAATTTCTTTTGTTATGAATATAGTGCCATCAAAACTTTTATGGTTAGAAACTTACAATTAATTGTTCTCTTGGTTTACATATATTGCCATCCCCTTTTGCGGGGGAAACTAACTGATGAAACTGTTTTCGATTCGAGTTTCGAAATGGGTGACCCAATTGAGTTTGAACTTGGTAGTGGTCTAGTAATCAAAGGTTTGTTCCCCCTAGCAACCACTTGCATCCTTCTGCTAAGATCCTGACGATGACTAATTCACTTTTATGGCTGGATTGTTGGTTATTATACGAATGGAGTTGATTGATTCTTGAAGAAAAAAATGCTCTTTGCAGGATGGGACCAAGGACTACTGGGGATGTGCGTCGGTGAAAAGCGGAAGTTGAAAATTCCTGCAAAGCTTGGTTATGGTGAACTTGGTTCACCACCTAAAATACCTGGTAATTCCTATGCGACTTTTGTTATTTTAATGTTAATGAGAACTACTTAAATTCCCCAAGTTGCTATTGATAGTCAACTGTCCACTGCCTATCTAATTGGATGACTGATGTTATTAAGCAAAACATCAATACATAATTGCATTAAAAAATCATGGCATAATACCAAAATTAGCTTTAGAATAATCACTTTGGTTTCTTTTTAAAGCACTTTAACCGTTTTATTTTTGGTTAAAATAGCTCTTTCTGGATGAAAACTGTGGCACATGCCACGTCAACACTTAAATACACTTGGCATATGCCACCTCTGTATTTAAGCACAGTGAATCAGTGATATATGCTACACTAGTAATTACGCAGGTGTGGAAATGCACATCATTATTTTATCATATGTGAATGTGCTACTTCAATAATAAGTGTTAGACCGTTGGTCAACTAACAATTTCCATTAAAAAAAAGAGGTCATTTTGACTAAATTGCTTGAAAATTGAAACGATGTGGTTTTGCCAAAATTACAGGCGGGGCAACACTGATATTTGAAACAGAGCTTATTGCAGTCAATGGGAAGCCATCAAGCGGAGGAGAAACAAACACAAGTGAAGATGGCTATAATAATTGATAATAGTCTCCGGTTAGATCAGCTTTATCTTTAGCTACGTTTGTCTTCCTTTTAAAAATGCTAGCGATGGTAAAACCTCACTAAGGTTTCTGGCTGGGATTTAGAAAACATATCATGCTTGCCGGTTCATAAGCTAAACCATTTTCATCATATGATACTTTGTTGCAGAAACTATTTCTTTTTGGGTAAACTAATGGGTAAATTTGTAACTCAACTAATGGGATTTGTTTTTTATTTGTTGTTAGCCGTTATCTCATTGGCGGGAATATGACATGCCAATTTATAAAATTGGTATTCCTCCGTCTCATAATTTGTCTTATATTGACTATGTACATAGTTTTAGATATATGTTTGACCAAGAGAAATGACAGTTATCCTTAAAATGTGATTGATAATTTAATTGATTTGTATTGATAGGTGTAAACGAGTGGAACATATAAGGATAAAAAAGAACATAAGTATTTGTTGACTTTTTTTATAGGACATTTTCAATAAAATAATTTTAAAAACTAAAAGAGACATTTAGTGAGATAAGAGAGTATAATAATAGATTAACCTTTAGCGTTTAAAAAAACATATGTTTAATCACTTAATTTTCAATGTATTTTTATTTTAATAATTCTATAAAAGTTTTAGATTAATTTAATTTTAAGCTTTGGAATTATACTCTCTTAAATCATTAATTCCTCAACGTCAACACCAATATGTAAAATCTTCACCATAAAATACACATCAATAATCAACGAGCTGTTACGTGCTTTGAAATTGCGATCAACACGAAATACTGTCTTCAAACCAGGACCATTGTCCATCATTACAAACATTTCCATGTAGTTCAGTGTTTTGCTGCCCAGAAAAGGCTGATGCCGAAGAATCTATTGGACGTGCCGAAGTGTTGCTTTATTGAAAAATCTGAAGATAACCCAGAAAAAAAAACAATGAATCCCAAATGATATTCAAACATTGTTCTGCGTGGGAATTAAATATAAAAGCTTCGACTTACGTCGTTAGAATCCATCCCGGTGCTCACTGAAGCTAGTTTCATAGAGAGCAACTGTCCGCCAAAAAGGAGATTATCACAACCATTGTTGTTCCTAAAGAATTCTTAATTAACACAATGCTTATCGCTAAATAATAATGTACCTCAACTTGACTCTGCAATGATTGAATGTAGTTTATAATTTCGTCCAGCACCAGTGCTTTCCCGATGATCTGCAATTTGGAAAGGAAAACCCATCATTATATATGGATAAGGTATGGTTGTAACATATAATTTTTTTTTTTCATAACCAATGAATATGACAAGGGCTTTTAGAAATTACCTTACTGCAACCAGGGACCAGATTTTGCAGAATCTTCATTCTCGCACTGATTTTCTCTCTGCGAACCTGATCAAGTGAGAAATACAGAATTATAGAGAGCCGTTAATAATGCAACGAAAAACCCAGTGAATATATATGCTTACTCTTTCAGCTAAACTATGGCTGTCAGTGGCTTCACCCCTTCTTGCTCTAACATGAATATAGTCCTTTGGAGGTTCAGGATGCTTCTTGATATTGTTGTCGTTGCTTTCCGTTGACTTGCATCGTTTCTGGGTTGCCGGAGTTTCCTTCATTTTGGCTTCGGATACCTCCTTTCTTTTCCTTGAAACGGCGGATTCCTCGCGAAAACTGGTCAGCTCCGACATATCCCGTGATGGAGAATTCGATTTCGAGATATGGGAATTTAATGTTGCGGGAGAAGACGTCATTGAACTCAGTTCTGAGTCGAACTGTAAACCGTAATCCGTTGATATTTCCCGGCATGGATCGAGGAAACAATCTCGGAAGCAATTCAGCTCAGTGTCGTGAATTCCATGGAAGAAGAGATGGAGTACCAAGCTGAGATTGGTTCAAAGAGCAATGGCGGTGAGAGTGGAGGGATCGCTGCATTCAGGAAAAACTGGTCGTCCATTGACGAAGAAAATCCAGGGAAATGTAGGGATTTCGACAACAGAAAGTGCTGAAAACTTTTGATATTTTAACTTAGGATTCTTTGTTTTTCCGAAGGTCAACTTTGAGTGGAAATGCAATTGTTGGGTTGTTTAAATAGAAGAGGAGACGGTAACATAATAGGTTTAGTGAAGAAATGCTGAGAAAAAGATAAAATAAATAATCCAATTATTATAACAGCAAGAATACTAACAAAATTAGAACACTTTTGCAAGTACCAAAAGCTGTATTTTGTTTGTTCGGATTTTAACGGAGGAATATCTACCAGAATTAAATTTAATTTCAAAAGGAAGAGTTGCATGGCTGACCCGGCATATATTCGCTTGACTATTGGTTATTGGTCTCTTTCTTTGAACATTGTTATGCTTTCCTTTTTTATATTTAGGGAAAACTCTCTAAATAGTCATCCAATATTTCAGGTGGTTGTATTTTGATCATTGAACTTTTAAAATTTATAATCATTTTTAATTCACTTTCATTATAATCATTGTTGATTTTTCGTCAGCTTCTTTTCGTCGTCATCGACATTTATTCGATCGTTATCATCATTAAACACAACACCTCCCATACTCGAGAGCTTCATCATCATTCCGTCCAAGTCTCGAACAAATCAAGATACTCTCTCCACTCAAAATGAAACGACACTTCGTACTCTTATCACCGTTATTCAAAGAATTCAAGGACAAAAAAAAGGTTACAGAGGCCTCTTAATGACTTCATATTTCTCACCATAAAGAATCCTTCTAAAATTACTTTAAAAAAACGAACCAGAATATGATGGGTTCTGAATTTTATAATATTCTATGTTTATGTTCTCTTTTCAAGTTTCCCTCGTTAAGTAGCTTCGAAAATCTTTGAGAATTTGCACTCTTCGTTACACTGCTATTTCAAATACTGTCTTATGTTGAAGAAATAGAGGGAGTTACAACTAATATTGTGTCGATTTAAATTAGCAAGAGCTTTTTTAATCTCGGACCCTAGGAGACATCTTCTAATAACAATGGACGGAAGTGACTATAATGAGAATGAATTAAAAAATTTTGCAACAAAAATACAAACACGAAAAATTTAATGACTAAAGGAAAGCATCAAAATCAGTGGAGTTTTTGCCAACCTCATTTATGATAATCACTTTATACAATAAATAAGAAAGAAAGCCGTAATCATCGCCCCAATATTTATTCCGAAATGTTCCATTTGAGTTTCGCTCCAATAAATAGTGGTCTTGAGGCATGGCTGACCGGGCATCTTCCACAGTGCTGTCAAAATCAAGCCCTCTTAATGTTCTGTGCTTTGTTTACACGTTTCGTCAATCGGTCAAGCTTTACCCATTTTTTAGTATTTGGACTTTGGCCCAAACTTCTAATGTAACTGTAAATACGGGCTTTTAGACAGAGGCAGATTTGGGCAAAATTAATCCAACAGGTCAGGCGGGAAACAAATTGGCCAATTAAACCATCCCAAAATTAATTTAAGATCTACTGTAAATGTTAAGGCCGAGGAAACTCATCATGTTCACATGAAGAGTTTGTCCAAATAATATTTTTTATTTAAATTCATCAAATTGATGTGATAAATTTTGAAAAAAATAATTTTATTAGAATTTGTCATGTTAGAGTGAGAAATTCTAATAAAAAATATATTTTATTAAAATTCATCATTCCCACTTAATGAGTTACAAGTGTCACTGTAAAAATTCCGTTGATCTCAAATTAATTTTGAGATGGCTTAATGGGCCATTTTTTTTATCTACCTGACCTAGTGGGCCAATTTTACCGACATGGTTGGGTCAATCACTTTATTCTAAAGCACTACCCATTTAAATTTAGGTCGTTCAGCACGAAATTGAAATACTTGTCAGTAACGAATGTAAGATTTTCAGTAAAGTACACAAATGGTTCCTCGATTATAGGGTGTTGTTTTATTAAGTCTTCTGACTATTAAAAGTTACAAAGTGGTCATTTGACTATAGAGTGTTACTTTGTTGAGACATTTAACTATTACAAGTTACAAAATGGTCACTCGACTATTCATTATGTTCCAAACTTGTATTTTTTCGTTCAAAAATTGATGGTATTCTAAGTTGAACGTTAACCTCCTAAATGTGATATGATAAAATTCGATCTTAGAATCTCAAACGACTATCATATTCTAGTTAGGGTGAGCAAAACTCGACTCAACTCGAAAAACTGAATATTTTGACTCAAAAAAACTCAACTCGAAAAAAAAATTTCAAGTTCAAATTGGGTTGTGAAATGCAACTTAAATAACTCGAACTTTTTAGTAATTAGTGAATTTATTTTTAAGTTGGAGTCGAGTCATTGGACTTTGTATAATATATGTATATCACATATGAAAAAAATGAAGATATATATTTGTATTGTATATATGGTTATAGAAAGTCATATAAATTGGAATCAAATAATATTTTAATGTTGTAAATATTTAAAATTAAATTAAAATAGAAACTCGAAAAATCGACTAGACTCGACTTGAAAAAATTTGAAGTCAACTCCGAGTTGTAAAATAGGACTCGTCAACTCGAATAACTCAAAATTTTTTGACTCGATCTCGATCGAACGCTTACTCCTAATTCCAGTATCATGCTAACATCCATCTTAGTCAATCGTCAATTTTTTAACAAAAAAGGATGACTTTGGGAATATAATGAACAGTTGGGTGACAATTTTATAACTTTTAGTAGTTAAGATACTTAATAAAGCAACACTCCATAGTTGGAGGATAATTTTGTAACTTTGAATAGTCGAAGGATTTAGTAAAGCAGTTCCTATAATTGGGGATCATTTATGTACTTTATCTAAGATTTTATATTAAAGTTGAATTTATAAAATTTTAGAGAGTAAATAAACTATATGATAAAAAATATAAAAACAAAATCAAAATTATATAAGAAATTAATTTTCAAGGCGATTATCCCCTGAACCCTTCCTCATTCCATCCTAACACTAATCCTATGTATATTCCCCCTAGTATAAAAATAGAACCCTACATTTTGTACAGTTAAAAGCCATTGCTTAATCCCTCCAATATAGCAAAACCATTGCTTAATCCCTCCAAAAGTGATTGAATTATAAACTAATACAACAATAGGATTACAATTTAACCCTCTACAAACTTATAATTCAATTTCCACCGATAACAAAATTAGTATAATAAAAAACCCTATTATGTGCCATTTCAAAAGTTCAATTTAATAATAGTAATTTTGATCATAATATATGCATATGATGCATCATTGAGTACATGATCCCATAAAAAATATACAACACTATTTAATTATTCAAACAGGTAATGATAGCTTATATTAATTAATGATGGATACATAAATAAGTCGTCAAACTTGCCTTATTAATCGATTCAAGCTTAGGGTTATTTAAAAAACCAAAAGAGATTATAAATGACGAATGATTAAGTATTGATAACCAATAAAATTAACACTTCCTAATCCCTTTCTACGGCATTTAATTAAGAATCTAAACTACTTTAATATCAGCATTCTTTTTGTGTGTGAAAGATGTTATTATTTTGATATACTATTTAAATGTTAAAATTATTTTTAAAATTATAATTAAGTTAAAATAACGTGTAAATATTGAGGAAAAAACTATTACCTATTTAAATGTTAAAATTAATTTTAAAATTATAATTAAGTTAAAATAACGTGTAAATATTGAGGAAAAAACTATTACCATACAAATTATTAATTACCACGTCTTCATCTTTTAAAAATTTAAAATGATTCATTTTGTAACTTTTAATTAATCGAATTATTATTTTGTAGCTTTTTATAGCCAAATGATCAAACTAAAACTTATCTTATAGTCAAGGGACTATCTACATAGTTTACCATTTGCAGAAAAAGAACAGTAAAAAATCCCGCGAAATAAAAGCAGACACTTACGTGGCGAAATCTCAATTAAATGCAAACAAAGGCCAAAAAATACATCCACCATAAAAAGAAATACGGTAAATTACAGTTTTCATCACCGAACTTTAATTTCTGTCCCATTCTGATTAATAAATTTTAAAAGTTTTCAATTTCTCACTGAACTTAATACATTATATTTTCTTGGTCACTGAAATTTACTCTTCTACTATTTTAGTCACTCTACCGTTAAATAGTTAACGACGTTAAAAACGACCACGTTTAAAAAATAAAATTTTCACCAAAACGACATCGTTTTGCATCTATATAACTAGTTATTTTAACGATGTTAGCTATTTAATGATTAAGTGATAAAAAGTTAATGTATTAAGTTTAATGAGAAAATTTAAAAACTTTAAAGTATAATTAGTGAAATAGGAAAGAGTAAAATTAAGTTACCAAATTTATAATTTACCCGAATTATTAATAAAAAAACAAAGTAAAAATACTGATAAATATTGAATGAGGTGAGAAGAACCAAGAAGAAGAAGATAGCAAAAAGTATTAGCTTGTCGTTGTTGTAAACTTGTAGTTGTTTTTTTCAATATATATATACATATATATCGCAGTTCGGTAATGTGAAATTCAGAATAGAGAAAAAATAGATTAAAAATAAGAGAATGAAACAGAGTATTCTCATTCTCTGTTGTTGTTTAGTCCATCGATAATAGTTGAAGGGATTTGGGTTTTTTTATTGGGTTGTTTGGGGTCGGAAAGAATCTGATGGCGAAGACGGGGGTGTCGAGTTCCATTCCGACGGTGAGGGCGAGAGCGGTGGAATTGAAGAAAGAATTACAGAGACTTGTTAGGACAATCGTCGACGACGATGATTACAGCATCCACGCCGTCGATCAAGCTAAGGATGCTCTTTGTGCCTTGAGAGAGCTAATCAAGCTAAGGATGCGTGCCTCGCTCAATAAACGGTCGACGGCGACCTTGAAGTTACATGAAGCGGTGTCGTGTCCTGAAGAGTTTAAATGTCCTCTTTCTAATGAGCTTATGAGAGATCCTGTTATTTTATCTTCTGGTCAGGTAATGAAGATTGCGTTTTGGGGCATTTTGATTTGCTATTCTCTTCGTCTTTTAATGAGAAATTCTGATGTTTTCGTGATGAAGATTGTTAATTTGTTTTGCTGTTTGGCGATAAAGAAAATGTGGGTGTACGAGAATGATTTTAAGTTAAGATTTTGGCATCTTTTTTTAGTGCATTTCGGTTTCAATAAGAATTTCATGACCATTTAAGAGTGAAGAATAGTTAAAATTGAATATGTGAAAATATTACTGATTTGAAACTTGAATGATTTGGGAAAGTAAATGAAATTTGCTTCAACTTAAATTATAGCAAATGGATAAATTGCATAATATCTTTTATGATCAATTCTTCTTAGTAGGATGCTTTAGTTTGATGTTCATGGATCCAAGTTCATATGTTGGATTGGTTGTTTAGTTTATGTTAAAACATGGATGTGTGGATTTTGGTTCTTGATTTGGTTTCATTTGGATTTGCAGACATATGACAGACCCTTTATCCAGAAATGGCTGAATGCAGGCAATAGGACTTGCCCTAAAACCCAGCAAGTTCTTTCTCACAAGGTCCTCACTCCCAATCACCTGATCAGGGAGATGATATTGCACTGGTGCAAGAGTCGGGGGATCGAATTACCGACCCCTGCGCAGTGCGGTAGAGAGGATGGCATTACCGAAGTGGAGCGCGACCGTTTCTCTTCTTTGCTCAACATGTTGTCTGCTGCGCTTCCTGAACAGAAGGAAGCTGCAAAGGAGCTTCGTTTGTTGACAAAAAAGATGCCTTCATTCCGGGCTCTTTTTGGCGACTCAGTGGACGCCATAAATAAGCTGCTCATCCCACTCTCAGCGAGCAAATCTCAGAGCAGTGTTCACCCTGATCTTCAAGAAGATGTGATCACGACACTCTTGAACCTTTCGATCCATGACAGCAATAAGAAGCTCGTTGCCGAAACTCCAATGGTTATTCCCCTTCTTATGGAAGCACTAAGATCTGGAACTATTCAAACAAGGAGCAATGCAGCAGCAGCCCTTTTCACTCTTTCGGCTCTTGATTCGAACAAGGCACTAATTGGTAAATCCGGTGTCGTCAAGCCTCTCATTGTCCTTCTAGACGAGGGTCATCCATTAGCAATGAAAGATGTTGCTTCTGCAATATTTAACCTATGCATACTCCATGAGAATAAGGCAAGAGCTGTGACGGATGGTGCAATAAGGGTCATTTTAAAAAAGATTACGGATGGTGTTCATGTTGATGAATTATTGTCTACCCTTGCAATGCTTTCGACCCATCAGAGGGCTGTTGAAGAAATGGGGGAGCTTGGAGCCGTTCCTTGCTTGCTTCGTATCATAAGGGTGAGCAACTGTGAACGGAATAAGGAAAATTGCATCGCAGTCCTTCACACCGTCTGTCTTAATGATCGAACCAGGTGGAAAGTGCTTAAGGAAGAAGAGATTGCTTATGGAACAATATCGAAGCTTGCTCGAGACGGAACATCTAGAGCCAAGAGAAAGGCTAATAGAATTCTCGAGAGGCTAAGAAGGACCATTAATATTACTCATACCGCATGAAGACATTACTCGATGCAACATCACCAAGTGCATCATTTGTAAATTCCATTTCCCACACCCGGTCACGGGTGCCTCTTATCATCAATCCGATTATGTAAATTCTTGTCCCTCATCGGAGTTCTTAATCTGAGGTTTAACTGTTAGCCGCTATTAATAAAACGCCTTGTGCAAGCGAGCTTATGTTTATAAGATGTTCTGTGTGTTTGGTTTTTACAGGTAACAGAGTATCGGCCCTCTTTTTACTTGTTTTCCATTGCATCCACACATGCTCTTATTCGAATGCCAGTCATGCACTAGATTCTCGTTTATTTTCTTTAGATGCCAATAATTATTGCACAATTCACGTGCCCTTTTTCATCATCTTCTTGAAATTTACTTGCCATTATAGTTTTTTTTAACTCTTTTCCTAGTTGTACTTCATCCTTCCTTCTTGGATTTATGCTTGAAAGATTTGACCTTCTAACTTCTGCATGCATTGTCTTTAGTTTCTTCCGCATCCTATTCACCGTACGACGTAGACAACTGGCTCCATCACTCGTCCTCCGACGAACGAGGACAGCCGATTTTTGTATCAGAAGATGAGAACAAAAAGTTGAATGAGTGGTCCTTAAAAGGAGGTAATAAGGAACGGGAAGAATGTGTCCATATTGAATAGTTTGGTGATTTCTGGTGTTGTGTTCCACCCCCAAAGTCTTCAATGCCAATTGTGACTGCCCTAAGATACCTACTAAAGTCAAGTCCTTGTCTTTATTCGAATGTTTGAAGATCGAGTTTCGTTAAAACCCGGGTTTACGATAGCGACATAAAAATGATTATACGCAGTGACAAATTCATAAATATTTTTTAAGGTATACATATATATTAATAATAAAAAAAATTATAAGGGTGGGCATAGGAAAGACACCTTCAGTAAAATAAACAACTAAAACTAACATAAAGAAATTCAGATTCTTAGATGCGCATGTGCCCACCCTGGGATCCATATACATCTGCCACTTATTATACAAACCGGAACCGGACCGTGCCTCGAGTTCATTTCATAATGCATGGTGATGGTGGAAGTATAGAAAGGTCGTTAATGTTGCATCTGGCAAATCGAACAAATTTAACCAAAATGGGTCTACCATTTGAGATAGCTCGTAACCTTGCTTATGTTGAACGCGCATGCTTTGTCTGCCCGATTCTCTAACAGCCTGTAGTCTCCACATGGGGCGATTTGTGACCAAGTGTCATTTATACTAATATAATATATTAATTCCATTCAATTTATATGTTTGGTAATAAGTGGTCCCTTTTTTTTCTTCCAAATATTATAGTTTAGTTATTTTTTTATAACAACCGATATACTGATGCACTTATCCTCAAAATTTATATACACTAAAATTGATTCTAATTCAAAAGAATTTATTAAATTTAATATTCTATATTTAAAATTTGTATAAATTATTTATTCTTTTTAAGAAATTTTATGTTATTTTTGGTATAGTAATAATTTAACAATAATTTATTATATTATTAAGGTAAAATATAATTATTCAATGATGTTTTAATCTGATGGACTAACTTAGCTTGATAATATGATTAAAAAATATTAAATTTCGTTAAATTATTTCAAGTTCAAATTAAACTAATATATATATATATATAATTATTAAAAGTAAAATTGTTACTATACCCACTCGTTTTAGACACGTTTTTCAATTTTAATGATGAAAAAGTTGTTTATAATAATATTTTAATTTAGTGTTTAAAATTATAATGTATGGTTAGAGTGTGAATTATTGGTATTGATGTGGTAAGATAAAAATGGACAATAAAGTTGGTACATGTGCTTCTTTTCTTTACGTTTTGGAACTTACTATGAAAGATAGTCTACTGATGTCGGGATTTATTGGAGAATATAAATATCCCCATAATTGTAACAAACAAAATCATGTGTATTGAAAACAACCCATTGAAGTGACCTACTATTTTAATAAGAAAAAGAGTGAATTAGAATGGATATGGGATTTTCTCACCCATACCACATAAATGCAAATTCTATAAGAGAAGATTTTGTAATCACAATCCCTTGATTAGGGGATTTAGGAGATTGTATTCGATATAGGCTATCGATGTACTTAGATTTTAACCGTTCATTGAGGGAAGCTTCCACTATAAATAAAGGTATATTCTTTCATTTGTACTCACTTTTTCATTTTTAGAAATCAAATAGCATTCTCTCAAAGTTTCTCTTGTTTTGCTTTTGTGCTATTTCTCTTGTTCTTTGCTTCCGTTGAGAATCTAAGCATCTTTGCTTGGGTTGTTTTTAGGTTGACTTAGCCGCAATCATAGAGAAGACGATTAAGGCCTTACGTTCGAAGCGTTGAAGTTCCAAGGGCGTGACAAGTATATATATATATATCCAAATTCGTAAACGCAAGTCGAAAACCATAATTATCTAACTTTGTATTATTTTTTCCTTGTTCTTTGGTTGTCCTTTGTCATGCTTAATTTGATTTGACTTGCGTCACACACCTGACTTTGGTAGGTAAGTCCCTCAGTGGTATTTTTTGCATACATAAGGGGCTTAAACTCTATACCTATTTAAACGATATCAAGCTACTTACCACTTAAATCAACCATATTGATTGTATTATTAATTACTATCCCTAAACCTAACAAATATATCAAGCATTTCAATAATATAGTTTTAATTAAGTCACATATTAATATAGAAAAGGCATTTTAAGAATCTGTAAAGCGACCTCAGTGATTAAAAGAAATGCTATTATCTCTATAGGTCTTGGGTTCAAGCAATTGAGTTTGTAAGATTTATTTGCATTATCAATAATTAAAAAATTATAAACACACATTATCTAATAATTACCCTAACCTAATGAAAAAATACATTTTAAAAAAATGGCCGGAAATTAGGACGTTGATTTCTGGCTTTAAAGCCCACCTCTATGCCAACTTAAACACTTAAGCTTGAACGAAAGGCACTGCCATTATTGAATGCGGTTCCCAAATTCAGTCTGCTTAGATATAAGGACAATATAGGCCCAACCAGATATTATTAAGGTGGCCTAGCTAAATCACCGAAATTCACACATGCTTCCCATTTCATATGAATGATGAAAGCATTTGAATAATTATTCTTTGTCTAAAATGTTTATAAAAAGTAGCATGCACCATTACTGAAATTTTCGTTTGCACTTATCGGCCAAACTAAGAAACTGAAATGAATAGATTATTCTTGATAGAAATAAATGAGTCACAATGGTTATAGACGATTTATTCTTTTTGATTTGTATAAGGAGTTGTAATTGGTGATTAAGTGACCATTAGTTGATAAAAGAGGAATTATTGAAGAAAAAGATTCAATATCTCTCTCAATCTTAATCTAGAGATCTTGTAACGATCATTAGTATCGATTTCATATGTATGGTATGATGATTATTCATATAATAACAGGATAGGTGAACTTATTTGATGTGATATTGTAATACCTCAAATGTCAGGCCAATGACTTTATTGAAAATATTTAAATTTTTAGGACTTAATTAATAAATGGTAAAGTATAAGAAAATAAATTAGAAATTATTTGGTTAAGACTAATTTCTAAGAATGAAAGAATGAAAGGGGTATTTTGGTCCTTTGAGGGGAAATAAATTATGATATTAAAGTAAAGGGGAAAAGGGAGAGTGTTAATACCTTGGTTATTTTATGCTTTTTTCCCGTTTTTCACGTGGCCTTCTCTATAGATAAGGTAAACTTCATCAAAATAGTTTTTCCTTTAGATTATGGATTGTTTTTGCAACCTTAAGTGATATGTAAGCTTAAGGAAGGGTTAAATAAGATTAAAACTAGGAGAAGGAGGAAATATTTTAGATTTAAGAAAATGTGTTTTTGAATAATATGTTAGAAAATGAGTTTTTATTGATGTTTATTAGTATATTTGACTTGTCCAAGTAGTAAATAAGAGATTAGAAGCATTGGATGGGATTAAAAACATGTTAAGAAAAGTGATATGATTCTTAGATGGAAATGTTCTTGAGAGATTTTAGATGTTTTACGAAGCTAAATGAAGGAAAGTTAGCAGGGAAAAGTAAATAAGAGTTTAATAGTATTGTTGAGGGTAAACATAAGGAAATTTGACCAAATTTGGGTAAGAATCGGGCTGAAAAATGAAAAATCTGGGTACGGGTATCGGTACTGATAGAACAGTACCGATACTATAGGTTTAAATGGGTAGAAATATGTTGAACAATACTGATACTAATGTAATTAGTATCGATACTGATAGGGCATCGATACCAAAAAGGAAGGTATTGATACCATGGATTACATAATGCCAAAATGGTATCGATATTAAAAGGGAGTATCGGTACCACAATATAGAAGTATCGATACCATGGTAGGGGCACCGATACTATTGAGCCATGAATTTTAAGATGGGTTGAGATTGTTATAGAAAATTTAATAATAGTACTTTTGAGTATTGTTAAAGTATAAATGTTAGGGAATATACTAACAATTGGTATGATATGTGTCTTTAATGGATGTTTGAGTCAAGCAAGAAAAAGGGAAAAGACAAAGTTGCCGAGTAGTTGGACATCACTACATCATATCAGGTGAGTGCATACAATGTAATTATATGGGTTGAGGGAGACTCACAATAAGTCCACCTCAAATATTTAAATTAATGTATGTTTTACTTTATATTATATATGTTTATAATGGGTGTGGAACTGATATTATGAATGATTTTTAGAGCAAGAACTATTTTAAATAAAAGATTAATTGTCTAGCTGTGCATTTGACATAAAAGTGTCAATTATGCCAGTTAGATGAAAGGTTAAATACCTTTGAGTAAAATATTAATTGCCTAGCTGTGCATTTGACATAAAGGTGTTCATTATGCCAGTTAGATGAAAGGTTAAATACCTTTGAGTAAAAGATTAATTGCCTAGCTGTGCATTTGACAGAAAGATATCAATTATGCCAGTTAGATGAAAGGTTAAATACCTTTGAGTAAAAAATTAATTGTCTAGCTGTGCATTTGACAGAAAAGTGTCAATTATGCCAGTTAGATGAAAAACTAAATGGCTTTGAGTTAAAGATTAAATGGCTAGTTGTGTAATTGGCAGAAAGGTGTCAATCATGCAAGTTAG